GTCGTTGCATTTTTCGAGTAGCGACAGTGTGCACCTGTAGTTAGTCACCGCGCCTGCCGCTTGGGCGAGACACGTCGACAGTAGGGGCCTTAGCTGTAATATTGTTTCAGCTTTTTGGTGTTCCAGGGTCGAGCTAATTCTTCCCCGATTAGGTATTCTAGATAGTAGACCCCGTTCCCCATTTTTGCTCTAACACGGTAGGGTCCTTCCCAGTTTGCGGCGAACTTGCCGTCTCGGGAATCTTTGTGATTCCTTCTTAGGACGAGGCTGCCTACTTGGAATTCTCGTTGGATGACCTTGGTGTTGTTCCTAATTGTTATTTTTTGCTTGTGTGAGGATTCACGAAGGGTTGCCCCTGTTCGGACCTCTTCGACGAGGTCGAGTTCTTCCCTTAGGGCCTCGCTGTTCGTTTCTTCGCCCAAAGGTGCTTTCGTTCATCTGGTCGACACTTGGGTTTCAATGGAGATTACCACCTATGTCCCGTATTCTAGGAGAAAAGGAGATTCCCTAGTTGACAAATGAGGTGTAGTGCGATAGGCCCAGAACACGTTGTGCAGCTCTTTGATCCACTGCCTCTTTGTTTCGTCCAGTCTTCATTTGAGACCCCGTAAGATTACTATGTTGGTTGCTTCGGCTTATCCATTAGTCTGAGGGTACTCGATGGATGCAAAGTGTTGTTTAGTGCCCCATCAAGGCTCACGTACCCTCCAGGAAGACTGAAGCGCCCTTGGACGAAGAAACAAACGACGAGGCCTAGATGGAGGAGCTCGATCTCGTCGAAGAGGTCCGACAAGAGGCAGCCCTCTGCGAGGCCTTACTTAAATAAGAAATCACAATCATGCACAACGCCAAGGTTATACGACGAGAGTTTCAAGTAAGCAACCTCGTCCTAAGAAGGAATCACAAAGATTCCCAAGACGGCAAGCTCGCCGCAAACTGGGAAGGACCCTACCGTGTTAGAGCAAAAATGGGGAACGGGGTCTACTACCTAGAATACCTAATCGGGGAAGAATTAACTCGACCATGGAACACCGAAAAGATGAAACACTATTACAGCGAAGGCCCCCACTGTCGACGTGTCTCGCCCAAGCGGCGGGCACAAGTACTGACCATAGGCGCACACCCAGGTACAAGTGCTGCACCACCAACATGAATCTAAGAAGGGTTTAGTCGAAGAGAAACAAAACCCATGCACAACAGCGGTTCCTCGACCGAGCCCGTTGTCGCCAAAGTACCATGAACGAAAGAACCCTTAGCTCGCGATGGAGAGTTCATGCCGCAAACTCAGGCCATAAGCGCGACCTGAGCTCCGCACCCCTGCCCGAAAACTACCTGGGCCTTTCGACCAATTCTCCACACTGTCGAACATCGTTTATTGAGAATACTCGAAGCATAACAATCAGCCGCTAAGATGCCTCATACGACTAGCATTAGACTGAATCATCACCAGAATCTGAATCATCACCAGAATCTGGATCAGAATCATCTTCACTTTTTGAGTCTCCTTCAGAGTCAGAATCACCATCAGATTCTACTCTAGCTTCAAAATCTTCTCCAGTTTCTGACTCATCTTCAAAAACTTCTAATTCTGAACTTTCTTCAGAAGTTCTCACATCAAAGTTTTATTGAGACTTGTTCCAATCCCAAGTTCTTGATTCCCTTACAATGATGTCTCTGCTGAATTTGACTTTATTAGTTTCTGGACAATAGAGCTTGTACGCACCTGTACTGCGGTATTCCACTAGTAACATTACTTTGCTTATATCATCCAACTTCTGTCTTCTGGATTATGGAACATGTTTGTAGCATACATAATCAAATACCTTCAGATGGCTAACACTTTGCTCATCTCTAGTTCACTTCTGAATGGGAACTATTTCCTTCAGCTTCTTTGTTGGAAACCTATTGAGCACATATGTTGCAACAACAATAGCTTCTTCCCATAAGGTATGAGGAAGCTTCTTCTCCTTCAGCATGTTTCTCACCATATCAAGCAAAGTACAATTTCTTCTCTCAATAAAACCATTGTGTTGAGGAGTATAAGGACCAGTAACCTCATGCTCAATTCCATTCTCCTCACAGAACTTTCTGAGCTCAGTGGAGTTATACTCACCTCCACCGTTGGTTATGAGAATCTTCAAAGTCTGACCACTCTGATTCTCAGCCTTCATTCTGAACTTCTTGAATTCAGCAAACACCTCGTGTTTGAACTTTATAAGGGATACCCATATCATTCTTATGAATTCATCAACAAATGACACGAAGTATTTATTCCCTCCAATCGAGGCTATTGGAAATGGATTAAACACATCAAAATGCACTACTCCCAAGGCATGCTTTGCTCTTGGAGCTACTCCTGACGCAAATGGAAATCTTGGCTGCTTTCCTTCCATGCACACTTTGCATGACTTCTCAGGATTCTTAATTGTAAGAATTTCATGTACCAGCTTCTTCGAATTTAGATGCCATAAGCTTTTGAAATCCAGATGACCAAATCTTCTACCACAACTCACTTTCCTTCACAACACTTGTTGCACTAAGACATTCAGAGTCTGCAGTTCTTACATTCACATTGAATATTCTATTCCTTCCCTATTCTGACTCCATAATCAGCTTCTGATTACAGTTATACAACTTCAGAAGATTGTCCTTCATGGTAACTGAAAAATCTTTCTCAATTAGTTGCCCCACATTCATCAAATTGCTTTTCATGCCAAGTACATACCACACTTTCTGAATTAATGTTGTTTTTCCATTGTTCAGAATGACTCTGACATTTCCCATACCTTCAGCGTTGAGGTACTTATCATCAGCACATCTAATCTTTGTCCTCTTACCAGATTCAAAGTCAACCATCCATTTCTTATTTCCAGTAAGATGATTTGAGCAGCCAGTGTCCATTTACCACAGTCTGTCAAATCCGTATCATCAAATTCAGAAGCCATCAGTAGCACAAATTCACCATTAGAACTTCTGACTATATTTGCTTCTTCTGACTTCCTTTCCTTGTTTGACCAGCAATCAACAGCAAAATGGCCAAACTTCTTACAACAGTAACATTGGATCTTCTTCTTGTCATACCTCTCTTTTTCTCCTTTTGAGCATTCTTCTGCCTATCAGAAGTTAAGGTTTCTGAATTCTGAACGCCATCAGATATTCTTCTGGCTTCTGAACAAGACTGTATCTAATGCTTCTTACCAGAAACTATTTTTCAGAGCCTGTTGTTCTACTTCCCTTTCAGAAGTTCTCTCAGTCAGACGCAACTCTTGTGCCTCTAGACTACTTTGCACCTCTTCAACTCTCATGATGCTCAGATCTTTAGAATGTTCTATTGCTACCACAATGTAATCAAACTGAGGGGGTAAGAGATCTCAATACCTTCTCAATAATTGCTTGTTCAGAAAGGGTTTCCCCACAAGCTTTCATCTCATTAGTGATCAGAATCACTCTGGAGGTGTATTTAGACACCTTCTCATTGTTCTTCATGTTGAGGTTCTCATACTTCTTTCGTAAGGACAGAAGCTTCACCTTCTTCACTGATGCGTGACCACCATAACACCTGACCAGTGTATCCCACGCAGTCTTCGTCGTTGTTGAATCAACGATTTTCTCAAACACATTTGTATCCACACACTGATGGATGTAGAATAATACTTTCTGATTTTTCTTCCTCGTATCTTTCTGCGCGTTCTTTTGTTCCTCTGTTTCATTTTCTGCTACTAGAATGTAACCTTCAGTGACAAGATCAAGCACATCTTGAGAACCGAACATTACACGCATTTGAATCATCCAACGAGTCAGTTTTTTCCATCAAACATTGGAAGCTTGTTTCTCAAACCACCGTTTCTGTTCATCTTCAACCTTGTGCAATCACTCAGATCTCACCAAACACAATGTTTCTCAATCCCGCAGAATCATAAAATGTGATTATGTTACGATTTCGTTCAAGATTCAACACGAATTCAAGAAACGCAATCAACCACACAACGCCTCGCCGTTTCACTCGTGTTTCCCGTGTTTCCTCGTGGATCCAAACTAGAGCTTTAGATACCAATTGTTGGTGCACAAGGTTAAAAGAGATGAATAGAATGAGAGAATATATTTATACTCTGCAAAATGACGGTTACAAAGTTGTAAGAAAGAATTACCTTAAAGGACATCTACCACTAGTCTACTTATGCACAAAAAACTAGAGTCACATAGGCAACATACTAAAGTATTAAATTACTCTCTAACAAAGCTTAGTCACTTAATTTTGTAAAATATAAATTATTTCTAACACAAATTGTTTGCAAACGAAATCTGAATCGTAATCTAATAAAGGTATGATGCTTGGAACGACAACAATGGTGATTAAAAGCTAGTTGACTTAGACGATGTTTCATTAATTTAAAAAAAAAAAAGACAACATGACATATTATAAAGCGTAAGATCAACCTAGCCATCTATAAGCGTTGAAAGATAGCGTGACTTTCGCAGTCTAAAGTCACTGAATCTCAATCCAATTAATTTATAAACTATTTCACCAAGATATCAATATAATTTAACAATGTTTAAAAATCGAGATTAAATAATAAAAATTATATAAAAGAACATTTTTAAAATTATCTTGTTAACTACTACTGACCCAAAATAATTGTTCAAGAATTTTAAATGATTAAAGTTTTTATTAAAAAGTTAAACATTTTAACTTCCATTAAAATTACATATCATAATAAAATTACTACTAGTATTTTTCGTACATAATTTTATTATTATTTTAAATTATAAAACTAATGCCGACGTTTAATATAACGTAGAAGACTAGAAGTTGCTCATTTAAAAGAGCAATTAAAAGACCTTCCCAGAAAAGAGTTGTCGTACATTGCACCTTCGCGTTCCTTCACTTTATTCACACAAAGTCAAATACCCTTCACGTTACAAAATAAATATCAAACCATAATAACATAAACACAACAACTAATACACATAACAAAACTCAACTTCCCCGCGGCGATCCTATGTCCACGTCATCACCACCACCACATCCTCCGCCGCCTCAAACAAAAAACAAACAGATTCCCACCGTCATCACTGGTTGCTCTTTCTTCTTCGCGCTCCTTCACTGCCTCCGCAACGAAAAACGAACTACTCCATCTTCCGACTCAGACTCCAACCCTCCTCATCCCTTCTCCTACTCCCTCCTCCGCCGCGCAACAAACTCCTTTTCCAATATCCTCGGCCACGGCGGGTTTGGCCCTGTATATTCCGGTACCCTACCTTCCTCCGGTAAACTAATCGCCGTCAAGCTCATGAACTCTACCTCCTCTGTTGCTTATCAAGGCGAACGCGAATATCACAACGAACTCTTCTTCGCCGCAAGACTCCATTCCGACCTCCTCGTCCCCGCTATCGGTTTCTCCTCCGATCCAAAACGCCGGCGTTTTCTTCTCGTCTATGATCTCATGAAAAACGGTAACCTCCACGACGGGCTCTTCCGTCGTAAAAGCCCTGAGTTAACGTTATGGAAAACGCGGTTTTCGATAATTCTTGACATCGCGAAAGGAATTCAATATCTTCATTCTTGCGATCCGCCAATCATTCACGGTGATATTAAACCTAGTAATATTCTCCTTGATCATTCCTTTTCGGCTAAAATCGCTGATTTCGGTCTCGCGAGGTTGAAAACCCTTTCCCCTTTCGAAATCAGGAAAGAGGAGTTTGAGAGTGATGAGACGGAAATTGAGAGTGTTAATACTAGCTTGGAGGAATATGAAACAGACATGGTTGGTGTTGTTGGTGGTAGAAATATAATGAAAAAGAGTGGGAGTGTGAAGGATTATGTAATGGATTGGATTGGTAAAGAAGTGAAGAAGGAAAGTTCAAAGAATGGTGAATTGGTGGGTGGAAGTGGAAATGGAAAGGGAGAGAAAAGCAAGAAGAAAATGGAGTGGTGGGAATCAATGGATGATGGAAATGGAAATGCTTGTTTGAAGAAGAAGGAGAAGAGAAGACCGGCGAGGGAATGGTGGAAGGAAGAGTATTCTCAAGAGCTCGCCAACAAGAACAAGAAGAAAACGGGAGGAAAGAATGGCGATAATTGGTGGAAATGGGAAAGAGATCGCGATGATGTTGATGCGAAAAAACAGAATAGTAAAAATCGTAACAGAAAGGATCGTGGTAGTGATGATTCATGGTTGAGTGGTGAGTTAAAGAGAGTTAATTGGAATAGCTATGATTCATGTAATAGCGGAGAAATTTGCAAGAGTGGTGAAATCAGCAGTACAGCAAGTATGAGAGGAACTGTTTTTTACGTCGCGCCTGAAAATGGTTATAGCGGCGGTGGTGATGTAACAGAGAAATGTGATGTTTATAGTTTTGGTGTGTTATTGCTTGTTATTGTTTCTGGGAGGAGGCCTCTTCAGGTGAATGATGGTTTGCATGTTTCGGAGTTTAAGCGAGCGAATTTGGTGTCTTGGGCTAGACATTGTGGGCGGAATGGGAAACTAATTGAACTTGTTGATCCTTGCGTTGAGTTGTTGTTAGTGGATCATAGAGAGCAGGCTCTTCTGTGTATCAAAGTTGCATTGGTTTGTTTGATGAAATCGCCTAATCGCCGTCCTTCGATGAAACAAGTTGTGGGAATGCTCAGTGGCGAATTGGAACCACCGCAATTGCCACATGAGCGTTCACAAACTCGATTTCAATTCAAGAATCGAAAAGAAAGTTTGTGACAGTGAAATTTATTCACCATAATTTATTACGAAATTCTATTTAACTATAGTTTAACTGTCCCATCTGTGTGAAAGTTGTGTTCTCGTGAAAATTAGGTTAGTGTCTTTTTTGGACATCATGTAGGCTCCATTTCTTTCTTTCATTTGTCCTTAGGATTGATTTTTATGTACAGATAACCATGTTCTTTCACACTGACTTTTAGGCGTGTCATGAAAATAATGCTTTAGTATAAAGTCGTTTTTGTAGTTCACATAACTTTTGATACGGGAAAAATTGGATACCTTTTAAATATATAATTATTCTTTTGAGTAGTCCATTATAGTTTGCTGCTTTGGCTAACATTGACTTGGAATTTGTAATATTTAATTTTTTGTTAGGTATGAAAACATTATATGCAATCGTAAGAATCTATTTGAATATTTTTTATTTTGGCAGAGGAAAATTCTGTCTTTATCAGATGCTGATGCAAGTTTGATTTTTTTTTAATATTCAAAGTTGATGAAAATGTTGATATCCGTTGCAATTCATTCTCAAATTTATCCATTAAAAAGCAATATTTTTTTTTAATCATTATATGCATATAATTATTCATTTAATTAAATATTTAATTTATATATTAATAAATAGTATACTTTTAATAGAAAATATAAAATTCAATGTATTTTGATTTTACTATTGTTAAATAATTATAATTTAATTATATTAGTTATGATAAATAAAATTGATATTATCATTTTCTAGAAGTAGAAGAAAAGATTGTCCATAAGGAGAACAATACAAAGCTTTGGGTCGATATTATCTGTGGAAACAGTATCCCAACAAATGGTATATATGAACATAGATTTTGTAGCACCTAAAGTTGTTTAAGGAGAATTGGAAGTAAAAATTGATGAAGATGTCGAAACTGAGATGAAATATTGAGAAGCTTATCTCATCATGTTTTGGAGAATGATTTGAGTATGAATGCGGTGAAATAATTTATGACAGGGTATTGGAATTTCATAAAACTTTCATAAATGTTTTATCATGAAGAAGACTATTTCATCTTGTGGTTCAAATCATTTGCCGACAATAAGATGGTGCAGATGAAAGGCCCTTATACGATATACATACAATATGCCAATGATTCTCAAGGATTGAATACTTGAATTCAACTTTCAGAGAGATATGCTTAGGACCCTTATTATTTTGGTCAAACTCCCCCACCTCCCTCTTCATTTCTGGAGTCCCAAAAGCCTAGGAAAAATAAGGAGTGTATTAGAAAACCCGTTGTTCACAGATGTGTGTACAACTAATAAGTTACGTATTTCATATGCGAGAATCCTTGTGGAACTGGACATCACTCAAAAGCAGAAGGAAACCATTACTATAAAAGATCATGAAGGTAACAAAATCCAACACCTAGTAGAATATGAATGGAAGTCCCTTTATTGTGAAATTTGTCAAAAGATTGGGCACATGTGCAACAATGAGAAAAGTAAGGTGGTGAAGCAATGGAAGGAAAAAGACGTTGTTCAAGAAAACGCAAAGATCTTGGATCAGGTAAAAAATCAAACGAATCAAGACATATGTTCTACTTCATGGATAGAGGTGGGAAACAATTGGAGAGGGAAAGAGAAGACAAGTACAAGAGAGAACTCAACATCATGTATTTTGTGTCAAAATGGATTTAAAACACTAGGAATTTTGAATGATCTACTAGTGTCCATAGAGAAAGGATCATGATTATTACATGGAATACAAGGGGGATAAATAATATTGGAAAATGCATAGAGGTTTGCTCCCGCCTTCAATAGCATGAACCCTACAATTGTCATTTTGGCGGAAACTAGAGTTAAGGAAACTAAGTCTACAAAGATTAGAAATAATTTTGGCTCTAGATGGTTTTTCTTAGACAATTACACTGAGCACAATAATGATAGAATCTGGTCAATATTTACACAGTGGGATACATTCTTTGAATGGTGATTTCAATATGTGGTGCACTACAATAAATACTTTTTACACTTTGGAGTTAAGAAAAGCTCTTTGGAAAGACATTGAGAAGCTTCAACCTAGCAGCTTAGAACCTTGGTTCTTAATGCGAGCCCTTTGGAGAAAATTAATGAGACTTCAACCTGTTATTAAAGAGAAGGGTAAGAGATTTTATGGCATAAAGAAGCAAGTGGAGGATGCTAGAGAGAAACTAAAGTAGCTTAGCACAACCTTGGTCAAGACAAAATGAATAGGAAGAAAGTTATGGCAACAAAAAATTGTGTTGAAAAGGTCATTCATTTGAACAGTATTAAAGATCAACTCTTGAAACAACAAGTGAAGATAAACTGGCTTAAGCAAGGAAAGAGCAACTCGACTTTTTTTTATGCCATGCTGAAGAGTAAAAAAGTTCAAAAGAAAATTTTATCTATGGAATCTGAAATTGGGGATATTATATCTAGCCAAAAAGATATTGAAGAGGAAGTGCTCAAGTTTTATAACAAATTGGTTGTACAACTACTACAAACCTTAAAGGAATTGATATTGTCTACTTGAGGAAAGGATCTCAACTTTCTTTGGAGCAAAGGATTAGTTTTGTTGCGCCCATTCAGACGGAGGAAATTGACAATGCTCTAAAAGGGATTAGTGACAATACATCTCCATGCATTAATGGGTATGGTGCGAAATTCTTCAAGTCCGCTTAGAACATCACAAAATATGATGTATATGATGCAGTTAGAGACTTCTTTGAGAATGGGAGAATGTTCAATGCTTTCAATAGTGCATTGGTTACTCTCATTCCTAAGTCTTCAAACGCTAAGATGGTGAAAGATTTCCGTCCTATTTCCTGCTGCACAATTGTGTATAAAATCATAGCCAAAATCCTAACTTCAAGACTAGGTAAAGTCCTGAAAACCATAGTTCATTACAACCAAGCCAAATTTGTTCCTAAACAACACCTCCAAGATCATGTTCTTCTTGCGTATGAATTAATAAAAAGGTATAACACCAAAGGAGGACCTCCTAGATGTATGATTCAGATGGACCTTCAAAAGGCCTATGACTCAGTTGAGTGGCTGGCAATGGAAACCATTCTTCATGAATTGATTTTTCCTCCTCAATTCATTAGATGGATCCTCATCTTTGTGAAAATAATGTCCTATAGGTTTTGTGTTAATGGTGAGCATACCAATCTGTTGAAAACAATGAGATGATTGTGGTAAGGGGATCCTCTCTCCCCATTGTTGTTCGTTATCATAATGGAATATCTTTATAGAACATTTAGAAAACAGGCTGATTACCCAAACTATAATTACCATTCTAGATGTGAGAAGTTGGGCATAATGCACCTTTGTTTTACAGATGACTTACTAGTTTTCACTCGAGGCGATACCACATCAGTTAATCTTGCTATGCAGGCCTTCAAGGAATTTTCTAAAGCAACTGGCATTAAATTTAAGCCTCAGAAGTGTAAAGTTTATTTTGGTAATGTCGAAGAAAATTCTAAACTTGACATCTTCAACATCACCTCTTTTAGTGAAGGCAGACTGCCATTTAGATATCTGGAAATCCCCCTTTCGAGCAAGAAGTTATTAGTGGCGAATTGTAGGTTGTGGTTGAGGAAATTGTTCCTCGTATTAATCATTGGAGTGTCCATCTTCTTAGTTTTTCTGGTAGACTTGAACTGATAAAAAGTACCCTGTTGGCTATTACTAACTTCTGGATGTAGTGCAACCCTCTCCCCAAGAAAGTTATAAATCAGGTTGAAGCTATCTGTCGATCGTTCTTATGGTCTGGAAGTAGTGAAGTCACTAGGAAAGCCCCCATCTCTTGGAGGAAGACCTGCAATAGTAAAAATCAGGGGGATTTGGACATTATTGCCATAGCGGATTGGAACCAAGCTAGTTTTTAAAAATTGCTGTGGAATCTTAGTGGCAAAAGAGACAGTCTCTCGATCAAATGGATGCACAATTATTACTTAAAAGTTAAAGATATTACGGAGGTCTCTGTGAAAATTCATTGGTCTTGGATTATGAAAGCAATTTTCAAACAGAGACAAAGAGTTACTTCTCAAGATTGGACTAAAATTATGAACCATCAGAGAATTACTACAAGGTATATCTAATAATGACACGCTCATGTTGCCATATAGTTTTCATAATGACACGCGAAAATAAAAAATGTTATAGCATTTTACTTCTATAATTAGATGGGTGATGGACATTCACCTCTATTTTTTATGAGTGGGTGATGGATGGACTGATCCAAGCTTAATTAGGGCGAATGCTGCGATAAGTGGTTAAATGATGACTCGACTTTGTATCTCACTTTTTGATTCATTTCATGCATCTTTATCCCTTATTTTATCGATTCATTGTCATTTTAGCTGTTGATTACTTATGTTTTCTTCTGTTTTTACTTGACAGGTGTTAAATCAGCAACGTAGAAGAAAAAGATCGAAAAGCGAGCTAAACGGTGAAGAAAGCCCTTCAAGGCCTCCTCAGGACAATGACGCTCGTCATTGCCTGTGGAAGGCGTTCACCATGCAAAAAAAAGGAGGGAACCCCAATTTGAAGCTAATGGCGGTCGCCATTAGGCACACGGCGGTCGTCGTTTACCGCGGGAATAGTTTACCCAAAGCAGTTTGGCAATTCTGAAGGATTTCGAATTCTAATATTTTGGAGCCCTTTCCCCTCTACATATAGAACCTTGTAGGTCAGAGTTAGGCATCCAAGTAACCCATGTGAAAGCGCTGTCGAAATTCTGTCAAACCTTCCTTACATATTCATTAACCAAAGCAGAAATCGCTCACACCATGTGATTACTGCCCCATTGTACCTTTACTTTTTTTGTAATCGCTGATTGTACGGTTGGATAAAATATGTAATCTATTGAAGTTGTTTCTATTTCAATTTATCTCAGGTTATTTACAATTTTGTTTTACTGCATTACTTTACTTTCGTATTATTTGCAATTATGTATATTTTAATTTACAGCATGAAAAGTACCTTAGGTTTAGAGATGA